GCGGAAAATATTTTGTCTCATTTGCAACAATATTGCTGTAGACAGTAGCGCGTGTGATCGGTGTATTTTCATTTCCCGGTGAAATAGAATAACAATGCGCGCCGGACGAGGGCAATCAACGTGAATACGTAAAAGCAGAAACATCGAACATCCTACCTCTTTTTCGCTAAACTCACACATGACAGATTCACACGCAGTGATCTGGTGGTGAAGAGGGGTTCATTCGGGTTCGTGATGCTGTGCTTGTTTTACGGTGTTGTGTTTCCTCGAATGGCGACACCCGAAACGAACGGGAACGAACGAGAAAGCCCACGTGTATCGCGACGCGGAAAACTATCCGAAAAGAACGGCGGAGAAATTGCGAAGAAGGCGTTTCGACTGGTTTCTTTTTTTTTTCTTTTTCTATTTCGGCAGTATTCAACAGTTTTCGCGGCGAAAAAAATTTCTGTAGATTTCCAGAAATACGCGCGAGCGTTGCTGCGACGTTGTAATTAAAGTCCGCTAATCAGGCATGAAATCGTATCAAAGTCCACCGTTAACGACTGGAACAACTTTTCGTCGCGTGACTGCCACCCACCTCGGGTGCACACATCCCCGGACACGCACGCAACACATAAAGCTCAAAAGCAACTGCACACTTAAGTTAATGAAACGAGGGAAGTGCCGGACTGATAGAAGATAAAAGATACTCGAGCGGACGGCGACGGAGCGCGACACATGAATAAAACTGTACGTCTCCTCTCCGCGAACGCATCTTTCGGGGGCGACAACGAGCCCCTATTTACACGCCCGAGAGAACCGAGTTTCTTCGCGACGCGCGTAATTACTGCGAAAGCTCCTCTCGTTATCCGCGCGAAAGAACGGTCAATTCGCGCGCATTAAGACCGACGCGTAATGAAAGATAAGCCGAGGAATGCGGAACGGAAGAAGGGTCTCTGGTGCAGTGATTGACGAGCAAGGAGAAAGGTTCGTTAACGCTAATTGCGTACAAATAAAATGAATAGTCTTCGTCGCGGATCGTGGACACACGTATCGACAATTTTCAATTATTTTCCGGATAATTGTTTCATTGTTGATAAATAATAGAGAAAGTGGCAATTAATAACGGGTCTCCGTATTTTACAGCATGCAATTAGCACGTGTGTGTAGTTTATGGAAGATCGTCGCGATAAATCTAGATTATAGAAAATTCTCCGAAAGAGCACTTATCTCGGCCGTTCCGCGGAATTAGTTTTCGCGCTAATTGTAATTAACTGTTTTAATACGGGATCGTTAAGTTTTACGGCGGAGACGCGCGAGTCCACGATCGGCGCGAACGTCACATCGCATAGCACTCGGATGCAGATCGGTCGGTGGAGCCGAGACGATAAAGCGAAAATAGAGATCTCGCGATCAAGGACGATCCCGCGATCGGGATCTCTTGACGAGGGTACCTGAGCCACACATGGGCCGGGCTGCTCGCAACTGCATTGCTGTTTCGCTCGTTAGCAGGGCTTTCCATCCAGTTCGTTGTACGCGCTTTCCTGATTGGTCAGACACTGATCAGACGGGAGATTGTGGATGTGCATGATTCGAGTGGCGATCATGTCCATCGTTTTGCGTTCTTCGGCGCGTGATATCCGGCGCGATTGCGACTTCCAAAAGTGATTCGCGGATTCTCATTACAGGTTTGCAGTCTCTGCTGTCTTTGAATAACGAAGCGGTTGATACCGCTTGTACAATTGTATCCTTTGTACTTTCTTCAGATAACAGCTGCGCTTTAGCTACTGTTATGCAGAGTATCCTGTTTTCCCATTTTTCTTTCAACAGCGAATTCCTCATTAATTTAGACTTTCAGTGAAAATTTGATTCAGCGTCTCTTTTAAACATTTTAATATTCTATACGCCGGATATATTATTGTAACTAACTCTTATATAAATGAAACTTTTGAAGTCTGTTTAAAATTAAATGGAGAATAATCTTTTGCTGTGTTAATAAAACGTCAACTCCAAGTTGATCAAAGCAATGCCGAAGAATAGATAAAAGGGAGCGCAGGTACTCCGGGATACTCCATGCACTTGAGAGGAATGTCGTAAAGTAATCAGCGGGAAGGAAAAGTCACATCGAAAAGACACGAAAGGTTTTGACAGCGCGCAAGACCAATATTTTCCTTTCGTATCTCCTCCTCGTCGAATTGTAGCAATAGATATGGCAATTTTCTTCTAGTCGAAAGTTCGAAAATAACTACGCGCTAACGCTATAATTAAATTTTTCCAGCGGTAGCTGTTATTTTTATGAATTTCTCAAGTTTCACAGGCGGAGATGGCGGCGCAGAGAGGTAGAAGGAGATTACGTCGGGCGCAAAAGTCGCGTATGTACGCGTTCTCGGACGTAAATATGATGTTAATTCCGCGGACTTTTGCAATAACCAAGTAATTATCTGTAATCTTTGTAAAAAAGGTGTTATCAACTTTCTGCATTTTGAATTCACAGAATTATAATTTGCAAGTTTGCAGAAATTCCATTACCGGCTACTACACGCTTTCCGATAAACAGCAACCTATTTCTCGGGTAAACTTTAATTATCGTATCCCGCGCCGCTCTCCTCTGTCTGTCTTCGCGAAGATGTTCTTGATTTTCCGTAGCAACCAAGCTTCTCTTCTCTCGCTTCCTTTACACTCGTCTCTTTTTTACACGCTCTCAGAGAAAGTCAATAATAAAAGGCATTAAACAGGCGGGAAATGTACGTCGCGCGCGGTAAAAATCCATTAAACGGCGCACGCGACTGGTGTGGATCGAAAACCGGAAGCGCGGCGGTGACGGTCGCGGGAAGAGGAAAATGCAGGCTACTGAGAGAAAGAAATAGCGTGGGAGAAAGAGAGTCGACCGGATCCGCGCGCGGCGAAACGTCAAACGACGACGACGACGACGACGACGACGACGACGACGGCGACGGCGACGACGACGACGACGACGTCGGCTGCACGTACGGAGAGTTTATAATAAGCGGCCTCGTTTTTCCCTCATTTCGCAACACGGTCAAGCAGTGCATCGCGTGGTGGAAAATAATTTGCACTCTTAATGGAACGCGGAACGTACATACGTCGTCGGGCCGAGCTTTCGGCGTCAAGAAAAGACTCGCGGGCTGAACGCGCGATTCTTGATCGAGATATTATTATTGCGCGCGAAACTTTTCCAACCGCGCTGGAAATAAACCCCGGAAAATTTGCATACGGATTAAACGCTATCGCGCGTGTACTATAGTCCGCGTCTTACTTGCGAGCTATTAAAAAAAACGTCGAGCATGTTCGTTGATCCGCCCGGATTCGAAAACGCGATCGAGCGAATCGCGGAGCGTAATTAACCCCTTTTCACAAAACTTCATTGAGGAAGGTCGATAGCGCATCGATCGTACGGGCGTGTCGACGACCGGGCAGTAGGTGAAAGCACGTCGATTCCGGTTAAAAGGTCGTTCGCGGATTATGTGGTTCCTCGTGGTCCCTCGGGAACGCGGCAGGATTCACGGAAGCTTTCACGTATATTTAATATGTATGTATGCGAAGCTGGAAAAAGTTATACTTGTTGCTGCCACGAGCTTGGCGAAAACTCGGCAAATTGCGGATCGCTACGTCAATATCCGGAGGTCGACGAGGGACCGTGATGGTCCTCGGCCTTGACAATGCCAAGGCGAGACCGACGAATCCGGGAGGATCCAACGGGAGGAAAAATCGAGAAATTCAGCACGTAAATAATTCCGCATGCTTACGATATTAAAACTTGATCTCTCGCTGCGAATTTTCTTCACGTTTTTCTCTTTTACACCTTGCACATCTCTCTAGAGGTTTTTAACGCGTAAAATTTGAAGATTGAGAAACAATCCGCGCCAGACTAAACGATCTTGAATCGGCCTCGCTGCGGACAGACAGGAAGAAGCACTCGAAACTTGGAGAGAATAACTTTGCAGTTTCCTTCGCTCCCTCCGGAAATCCCTCTTTCGTATCGCTGAGAGCCCTACGTGCCGTCCCGTTGTTTCCTTCTGTTGCGCGAAATTTCAGACATCGAAATAATTTGCGGGGCACGTAACTGCGTAAAGCGGGGCGAGGTCGGAATGTGCAGGCGCCGTGCCAGCAGTGAATTCGACAAGTTCGCGGACGTACTCAATTAAAAGTTCGTCCCTTCGTTGCTCACTCGACGAGGAGCAACTGGGAACTCACCGATCACGGCTCTGCGTCACCTTATTTTTCTCCTCTTCGCGGACTTGATATCGCGTCACGAGTGACACGATGAAGACTTCTTGTGATCTTTGTATCTCATTAATATTTCAATTACACGCGAGCGCGAATAGAAGAAGCGACTCGCTTTGCTCACAGGGCGACTTCAAATTTCGTTTCGTATTTTTGATTTCTCAGCGTTATCTCTTTAAAGTTAGCCTATAATTCTTTCTGTCGTATTCAGCCCCCATCTACCATCTCTCGCAGAACACCCACGCCTGCTATTAAATCGCCATCTCGGACTGTCGTTCAGAATTCGTCGGTCGTGAAATTGAAAGACCTCGATTCGACGAGTCGAGCATTCTCTTTTTTTGCAGGCGCACTTTTGGCAGTCGCATCGCGTTCGATGAATACCACGCGGCAAAGAGCTCGTTGCCGCTTTACGGCGCAACTTTTTTTTTTCATTTCCGCGATAGAAATTATGGCGCAATCGGAACGCAGTCATGCTGACGTTCGAAGGGATGATTAGGAGCGAGTGAGCGAATGGCAGATCGGAGCCGCGATCGTGCCGTGGCTTCGCGACGTGACGTCGAAGCCCGGCGAATTACGCGACAGAAATCCGCATGAATATTCTCACGCTGAAATGAGCAACCGTCGCGGCTCAGATCTCCCACTCGCTTAACACGACGACACCGATAAACTGTATACGTCAAACGTATTCCCATATCTCCGTAATATGTACGATTACATACGTCAGACATGCGATTTCATCATCTACCGTTATCTAGCGAAATCGTGACGTCACTCACCGTACGGCAGCTCCAGCCGGCAGTCGATCAGAAGCGAGTGGCCCGTCGGTTTTTTCGTGCCGACAATATCGTTGCCCCTCTGCTCCAGCTCCAGGCCTAGACTAACCCACTGTCCGGTAGTTTCCTAAAATCGAGAAAAAACAAACGTCCTTCGTTAAAGAGAGATTATTTTTCCGCGCCGCAGTTTACCAAAACGGTAGAAGCACCGCGGTTATCGCGCTACCGGTCGTAACAAAGAATTACGATCGTTGGAATTCGTCGCGGCGTAACATCCGCGTATCTATCCGCTCGCGGAAACGTCGCGGTATCTCTTCAACGTTCGTGCATAAAATAATGAATTAATTAATACGGGCCATTATTCAGTCCGCCTTCAACAGTACGTTGCTGGCGGCGTGAAGAAATAATTCACTCGAAACAATCTCTCTCTCTCTCTCTCTCTCTCGTGTTCCGGCCGCGCGCTTTCGGGCCCTCGAGAGTCATGTGCAATTATTAGATACGAACCGCCGTATAATTTATGTAACCAAAGTAACTTCGTCAAAGCCATATTCTTCACGGGATTAATATATACGCGCGAACTCGCGATATTATGTCAGTGTGGAGATGATATATTCCGCGGACGTGCGGACGCAGTTTTATGCACCGCCGGCATTGTCGTCGGGCGAAGGAAAAGAGGGTTAGGAAAGAAAAATATTCGATTCTTCAATTTGACTCCTTTATTTTCCGTGCCGAGCGGTCAGGCGAAAAATTGAGCTCAAATTGGACCGAGTGCGGCGAATTTAGGAAAATTTTTGACAAAACGCGAAAGCCGATCGACGAGCGAAACCGAAGCCGCGGCTGGCAAAGTCCGATACATGGAAATTAAACGTAACTTCGAGCATCGATGATTTAGCGGCTTAAATGTTCCACAACCAAGCCGAGCTCGAGAGAATCACGCGGGACCTTTGTCCATTTGAATTTTTGCGCGTGATCCCCTTGTCCTAAAAATACAAACCTTTTTCCCGACCGCGAGGAAATACGTCGCAATCGAAATTTTTCATTTTTCATCGCAATGGGATTTCGTCGATCGGCTAGGTTGAATGTGGGCGTGCGATTAGTCTGCAGATTATTCATCAAGTTTCGCAAAATATCTTTAACGATTCAACGGAAGTATAATCTAAATTTCCGAGAAAGACGAGCGACCGACTTATCTCTCCCGGCACTTTAGACGATGATTTAAATGCGAGGAAACTTCGCAAATGCGTCCACGTGTGATGGCGCTTCGGCGAAGAAAACATCGAGATTGTAGCGCGTCTTCGCCGGCGAAAAAGTATTTCGCGAAAACAAGATACAAATCCACAGCGGTGTCGCAAATAGATCTGTTTGTCCCGAAAAATTCGGCGAGAATTACGACCGTGACGGAAAAAGAAATTGCCAAATTTCAATGATGCGTGAGGAAAACACCGAGGCAGCGATACTTTGCCTTCTGCGTCATCTGAACTTCAAACAATTTCGTTATCCAGAATTGTCTTGACGAATGTATTCTCTCGAGAGAGAAGATTGTGTTATTCGACACAGGATCAATTCCGCAGTGAATATCGGATCGCTAGCGCAACAATAGAAATGATTAACGAGTCGTCGTAATTGTGATCATTCCGTCTTCTCTCAGCATGGAAAATAACGGCGCCGCGGATATTTTTACGGTCGATACGTAAATGGCGGGTGGACGGAAATTGTAGGAGATTATTCCCGATACCGGCGCGCGATCTCAATTGGTCGGACGCGACGTTAAGATATAATCGGCTATTATTAGGAATAAAAGTTGCATTTTGCCAGTGGAAATCAATAGGCCATTAAAGATCAAGCCGGATATCTTCATCGTCCGGCGTGCGGAAACACGTCGATGATCCGAAATTCACTTCGGTCCACAATATGTAAAACGAAAATATGAGTATCAATTTATATCCACCTACTGACACGAATCTTTCTTTTCGAGACATCGCTCTGGTTTCGCGTAAAATGTCACGGGTATTGTGAATTTTTCACAGACGTTGCCCGGCGCGTGCGGACCACAATTTTCTATGAACAGCCCCGGGTAAATTTTTAATTTTTATGGGACAAGTCGCGGTCCTCTTTCTTTCTTTTCCTACCAATCTGGAATAAGGAACAGGGCGATATCGTCGCGAGTGACTGTGCTGTAATGGTGCTAAAATAAGAAGCATAGCGGTTCGGGAGCACCGCGCGCAACCGTTCGTTCCAGTTAATTCCACCCTATTACGGCGCTGCCGGGGGAGAGCCGAATTAGGTTAGCAGTGACGGGAACCGGCGCGACGCACCGGTCGCCCCTACCTTTCCGGTTCCTATCTGTTTTCTCGCAACCCGGCCCAATTAGAGTGCCTATCACACGGTGGAAGGATAAGGAAACCGGATGAGATACGCGTTCGCTCTTCTACAGCGAGAAAATGGAAGCCGATCGATCGCGATCATTCACGGCGGTCCAATATGCACTTTCATCGAGCACCGGGAAAGAGAGGGAGAGAGAGAGAGAGAGAGAGAGAGAGATATGATTTCCCAATGACATTAGATCGGGGAAAACGAATTTTCACGCAATTTACTTTCTACACACAACGCGAGCACCATCTGCGCTGATAGAACCGGCACAAAAGAAGGCGCGCTTCTTCCGTTCCGCCTTAATAAAACGGAAGATATTTTTTTTCTTTTATTTGAATTACGCCAAGGGAAAAAGTGATAAATATGGCGAGCTAACGAGAAGATTGTGAAACTGCATATGCGGTCGCCGGTTTACACTCGATCCCGGACCGTCATATTTTATTTCGCCTCCGCCGGTTATTATTTCGCCGGGGAACTGTCGCGTGGCACCATTTATTTTCTTCGCATGATAAATAGCGGGATGTCGCGGAAAGGGTTGGAGAGACGCGTCGTTAGGCCGCGTTTCTACACCGCGATAGCAATGTGTCCGCCGACACGATCGCTGATAATCACACTTCTTCTGTGTTTTTTTTTTTAGACTTTGCCCTCGCCTTTCTTACGCGGAGACGTTTCCTTTAATCTCGTTTCTTAATCTCGCTCCGGGCAAAGGAGAATTGTCGACACGGCGACACCGAGGACGACGTGATCGGGATGCTTGCGGGGGCGGAGCTGACGAACGCTCACGAATAGGACATGACGCCCGCGTAATTAAGCGTTCGACTGCACAATGTCTGTCTGCCAGACGACAGAAATATTCACGAGCTTTGCGCGTGCATTATCACGCCGGAGAGAGAGAGAGAGAGAGAGAGAGAGAGAGAGAGAGAGAGAGAGAGAGAGAGAGAAGAGAGAGAGAGCGAGAGAGAGCGAGAGAAAGAGAGGGGGGGGGAGGAAACGGTGGAATTCTACGGCTCCCTCAGTTCGGCTGGAAAAGACGGGCGTTGGAGTGCATTAACAGCTACGTCACGAGAGTATTCTCGAAGACGACCGACAATACTTTCATCACGATAAAAAAAAAAACCACTCAGCTTTGTGACTGAGTTACGAACTGGAAATTACGTGACTCATCGCAGACGGAAAAATTTTTTATCGCTCATGAAACGATCGCTCGTTGGAAAAGGTGAATTGGAGGGAATAAACGTTATTGCGGCGGTCATACGATCAGTCAGAACGCAAACTGTGTAATTGCGAATGTAGCAGACGGAACTGCAACCTGCTCGAACGAGACGTATATACGCTCATCACGCGAACCCGAAGGCAGCGGAAGCGCTGACGTTTGCGCGTCTGCTTCTACTTAAGAGCACATTTGTTACGGTCGGCCGACGAGCTGTCTTAACGTTCACGATGACGTTTGCATTCGCGGACGAGCGATATTTCGCGCTCGCACTGGCATGCAAATCGTCGGTCGGCGTGCTGTAACCAACACACAAGTGAATTAAAAAAAAGCTCGTTATCGAATGACAATATTAATTGCCTTTCGGCCGGGTCCGTTTAAAAAGCTTTGAGAAGCCTCGGAAGCGGGGAGACGCGCAAAAGTAATAATCGAATATCACTCGGCGGGCAATAACAATTCATTAACCGTATATTCGTTCACGACAATGGATTTATACATTGATATTGAGTCACCGTTATGCCGAATGATTCTGCGCGCAACAGGAGAGACAAATACGGGCGATTTATTTCTGTCGCTTTATGAGAGACCGCGATATTTGCATAACCAGGGGCGATTCGACAGCCACGCCGGCGGCCGTTTATTCGATACGATACACCGGCCCGTATAGCGTATTCTGCCGTGTGGAGCTTGTTTACGCATTTGTCACGCGACGATGACGGCACAGAGCTTCGATTTTTTTATTCCACGTGCGAGGAAGTGGGCAGATTCGTGCGCCGATAGACGCCGGCTTGACTTTGACGCTTGCCGACTTCTTTCCAGACGCGTTACCGAAGAAATTGCCTGTTTGTCAATTTCTCGGATCAACAAAGCGGCGGATTACACCCACGCCAAGACCTGTTCACGAATGTTCGAGGTTCCCCTCCGGTCGAGAACAAACAGGTAATTCGTCCCTATTCAATTCCCGTACGACGATCTCGCCGCAAAACTCGTGAGGTATCTCTCTCATTCTGCTCCTAACACGCGCGCCGGGGATGCTCGACCACGTGTCTACGATCGCGACGTGATTCCGACAGGATTAGGGGGAGCCCACTCCGGTCGGCGAAGAGAAAGCGGGTCGAAGGGGTGGAAAAGGTAAAAGCGTAGACGCGGCGTGCGCGATCGATCGAAGACGACTCCTTCCCGTTTCCTCGGTGTTTCCTCCACGCCGCCGCCGCCGCCG